GATATTCTTGATGTCATCCCACAACTCTTCTGGTCTTTGGTCTTTAGTGTTTAATTCATCAAATCTGTTCTTCAGATGATCTCTAAATTCAGAAGGGATAAATTCAAGATCATAGTTTGACTCTCGTAGATTTGTTTTCATTTTCTTCAGCTTTAATTTGAATTTGCATATCAGTAATTGATGGTCTGTTCCACAGTCTGTACTATGTACTAAAAAGCTTCAAAAAGTACATGGAAAATGGAATGAAAGGATAATGGAATTTTTCCCTGAACTTTTTGAAGCTGTCTCACACATTAGTGGAACTGAATGCAGTTGAATGTGTAAACATCAAGCCAAGGCTTCACCAATTAACTGACCAAAGCAAAAGATGATCTTTCATTCACATATTAGGCTTTGCCTACTTTCATTCTGAATCAAATGGGAAGCATAGTAACAACCTGAAGTTTTGAGTGGTAATCATTTTCAAAGGGACATTCTGTTGAGTAGAGAAAAATGCATAGTGAAGACGAGGAAAATGAATGGTTATTGCCTGGTTTTAAAGCCCATTGAAGAATTTATTAATAAACTATAGCATAGAGATACTAAAGGACATTCAAACGTACCTCTAAGATTCCAAAGTAGTTCAATACCCCAGTAAATTTGAAATTATGAGTTATTTTTGGCAAGAAAATCTTTAATTTGGTAGATCATTTTCAAGATAGCAACAAGAGACTGACTATTGTATGCATCATTCTCAGCATAGCACATTCCTCAAATTTTCAAGGTCAAGATAGCATAAACCACTCATAACAAATGAGCAGGAATATAAAGAATAGTTACTGATAGCAATTGTTTAATGTTCTAATCTAATCTAATGAAATCCCAGAGGTAGAGGGCCAGTCCTAGCCTTCCTGTCCAGGGACAGTGCCTGTAATCAACCCATAAAAGTAAGTACTTGACCACAATTAAAGAACATGGGTGAGAGAAGACCTTGTCTCACTTTGTATCTCAAACCTTTAAGATGTTCTAAGTCTGACCACATTGATCACCTTAAACATTAGATTCAGAAATACTTTTCAACATTCATCTGACAGTAACAAAGTTTTATACTCTGAAAACTTTAATTTTAATGGATGTAGGATGTTTGATGTAAAGGAAACCTTGGCCTCCTTGTTTTATATATGGGGTAACTGAGATCCTAAGAAGCTTCATGGTTCAACCTATGCCAACTGGAGGCAGGCCAAGAGCCCAGCCTCAACTCCTGTGGTGTTATGTTCCCCTCTCAGCCTCCCCACTCCCTTGGCTCTGAGCAGTTGCTATGAATTACAGTGAGCCAAGGCCACACACTGAGGTTACACAGACACCCATGCCCTTATTAAAGATCTCAGTTGGTAGGAAGGAAGGGGGTCTAGTGCAAGTTTGGCTGCCTGTGACCAACACCATTGCCAGTTGAGGTCTTTGTAATGTTTCAATGGTTACCCTGAGTTTTCTACGTTGTTGTTAAGTGCCACTGAGCCAATTTTGCCTCCTAGTGACCCTCTATAGGTTTCCGAGGAGTGGCTGTTCAGTTTGAACCACTAACCTTGAGGTCTAGTGCTTATCCTACAGCACCACACCAGGCCTCCTGAGTTTTCTATATGTGCCTATATTTCCAAATAGCTGACATGTGGGTTGGTCCTCACTGTGTGCACTCAGAATCCTCTGCAATTCTGTGCAGTTCAGCCATCATCTTTGATCTTCTCTCATGTGTCAGACTTAGATGCTGAGAGAACCAAGACAGATAAGACACTGACCTTGCACTCAAAGAATAGAATGCTCAGTGGGGGCATTAGACACACATTCTCTTTTCTTATTGTACTTACAAAAAGTGGAAACAAATTAGCATAGTATGCAGAGAAATTATTTTTCTCACCCAATGATGTAGCAAAATTAGAATTCATCTAAGAAAAACTACAATAGTGAAAAGGAAATGAACTTTGAAGTCACACACCCAGGATTAAATCCTGGGGTCCCATAGCTTAGCTGTGTGATCTTATAGATGTTACTTTACCTTTCCAAGTCTCAGTTTATAAGGGTATTTATACCTGTTTCACAAGATTGTTGAAATTAATTTTATGAGATAATTTATGTGACATGGCACAGTGATTGATGTTCAGTAAATATATGGGAGGGACCTACTGTGTCAAATTAATTCATAGAACATACTCTATAGGTACACACACACATGAGAAAAAATTGAAAAAATACCATTACACTTTTCAGTGAAAATAAAAAGTAAGTAGTCTTCTATTTAACAATGGGAGTCCTGCTGTGGGCTCAGGCCCTGGATTACAGTCAGTTTGAACCACAATGTCAACTATTCACCTCTCTTGCTGCTCCTTGGAAACCCTATATATGGGTCACTATGGGTCGGAACCAACTCGACGGCATTTAACAAGTTAATTAGTATAATGATGAACAAGAAAATTTGTTAATTATATTAAATCCCAAAACTAAAAAAGAGGAAGACCTTCAGTAACAAGTGGCTGCAACAATGACCTCATTGTAAAGATGGCCCCAAACCAGGCACCATTTTGTTTTGTTATATATGAGATGGAACCAACTAGAAAACACCGAACAACACCAAACAACAAAAACAACAGACAGAATCCCATCACTGTTGATGCTTTTATGAGAAACCCTCATTTTTTTTTATGTTTGAACTTTGCTCTGACTTGCATTCTGTTTTTTTGTTTTCTTTTCATAGTGCCAGTATGTATACCTACATCAGTGTGTAAGAGATGTTCTCAGAGCAAGGAAGCTACGGAGCGAACAAGAAAACCCCTTGTTTCCAATCTATGAAAATGTGAATCCAGAGTATCACAGAGGTAGGAGTTGACATCATTGCCTGTTAAGTTCATTTGCCAAAATATCATCAGTCTTTGGTTGTTGTTCACCAGTAACACCCTAAAGTTCAGCAGTGGACTAAGTACACCATGGGGCATCCCCTTAATAAAATATGATGCAGTCCTAAAGAATGATATATTTAAGGAGTAACATGGATATATTTATAAATAAGTAAAAAAATCAGAATGTAAAATAAACAGAAACAATGCATAGGGAAGAAAAAAACGGGGAAAATATACTAAAATAGTGTAACAATATTTCTCTGAGCAATAGAAATATACGAAGGGATTTCAAAAAGTTCATAGAAAAATTCTATTAGCATTTAATTCCATTTTTCCCCATGAGCTTTTTGAAGCCCCCTCGTATATATTTTTTTCTTCTAGTTTATTTTCTAAATTATCTAGAATAAGCATGTAACATATCTATATAAATTATATCTGTAATTGTTTAAGAGAAAGATCCCCCTCCATGCCTTTTCCCTCTCCATTCCATCTATAAAACTTAGTTCAGTGAAAAATATGAAAGTGCTGCTATTTAAAGGCGTTCTTTGTAAATCACATAATCCTTTTGTACTGTAAATAATGAATCCCTAAATTATCTGTATAGTAAATTAAGGCTTTCACATGTCAGATTCTTCAAGAAGCTCCTAGATACAGGGGTTCTAGGGGATCTTGGAGGTTCCTTAATGTTGTTTTGATTTGTTGGAGAGTTTTTTTGTTTTATAAAAATATTCTTGGGTACTCCTAAAGAAAGCCAACTGTAATATACAAAAAGATAACCAGCAGGCATCTGAAGGGCGTAGTTTTGGAACTAACTTGAACTCACAAAGCTGTATAGACTGAATTAATTATTTGCTATTCTGAACCTGTGGCCTCATTTGTAAAATCAAGTCAGAAAGGGTCAGAATAGGACAGAACAGAATAGTCTCTTTTACTGTTGTCTGGTGCTGTCAAATCAGTTCTGACTCATGGTGACCTTGGATAGGGTTTCCAAAGCTGTAAATCTTTGGGGAGCAGAAAGCTTCCTCTTTCTCGTAAGGAGTGGTTGGTGGATTTCAACTCCAGACCTTGTGACTAGCCGTCAAGTCTTATCCTACAGCATCATGAACACTCCTTATCTCTTTCATTGTTGTTGTGATGTACTGTTGCGTCAGTTCTGACCCATAACAACCCTGTCTAGGGATTCCAAGGAGCAGCTGGTGAGCTTGAACCGCTGACCTTGAAGTTCAAATGGCTTTGCAGTTTAACGCATTCGAATATAAAATTTCATAGCCCCTACTGGAATGACGTCTCCCTAAATCATATTGAGCTTTAATTGCTTCTGTTAGTCTTTCCCATTTGTAATCTTAGTAAGTAGAAAAAACAGCTACATCACACCCTACCATAATCTCTAATTGTACTGTCCTTCTTTTCAGATGCAGTCTATTCAAGGCATTAAGAATGTACCCAAAGATCTCTTGGATAAAAACTATTCACTGTGTGATTGGTTAAGAAATTTGCTTCGTGCCCTAGAAAGGTGCAGGCTGTTTCTGTTGATACTATGTATAATTTATTAATCTGAAGAATTTATGTAATTTAAAGGTAACATATCATTGTACATAGTTATATTTTGTAGTTTCTTCTTGTAAATATGTATTTTTCATAATGTCTAATATTAAGCTTTATATAATACAATTTTTCCACACGAAAGTGTTCCTGGATTGTTCTACATAAACTCATTTAATTTGTATGGCAGGACTATGTGTATAGTGATGGATACAGAGACAATTCCTTCAGCCATGATTTTTACCTGTTTTGATATTTACTACACAGGATAAATACAGGATTGGAGAGAATTTATAGTGTGGCTGGCTTTATTTTAAGTCAGGCCTATGAACCTTGAGATCCAAAGATGATTCACATACTGTTTGGACAAATAGAAGCATCAAAAACTGGTTTGAGAGAGAAAAGATTAACGAATCCACCCAGCTCAGTCTTGGTGCTACCTAATCTCCTCTTTCTCCTGCCAAGGGTATCAACCAAAGCTCGGGGTCACGTAACTTGCAAGACAAGCCTAAATTATGTAATCGAGGGTTATGGTAGAGTCTGATCCAAGTAAAAGTGATGTAGCTGTAAACAATCAAAATGCAAGTTAGTCAACACCCCCAGTTTGGAGATTATTTTACTACATTCCTATCAATATTCAAGGAGTCCTGATGTGGCACTGCGAGTTAACACACTGGACTGCAAAATCAGTTTGAACCGTAAGGCTGGTGGTTTAAACTCACCGGCCACTCCTTGGAAACGCTACACAGGGTCTCTATGAATCAGAACTGACTCAACAGCATTTAACAAAAACAACAAACATCAATATCCAAATGTCTATTGGAGAGTGGAGTGTTAACCTGCACACCCATATTGTAATGTGCATGTTGGCTTATGTACACAGTAGTCATTATCTCAGTTCCAGTATGCTGTGTACCTGGAAAAGTAAAAATGATACCAGTCATACTGATTCCCCCATTGAAGTAAGACTCCAATGGCAGATATTGCTCCAGATCAAAGCATCTAATATCAATTTTTTAAAATAGAAATGCCCACAATCATCATATTCAAGGGGGCTTCAAAAAGTTCATTAAAAAAAAAAAAATGAAATAAAGGCAATGGAATGCTTCCATAAATGTTTTGAAATCCTGTCATATAGTTGATTAAATAAAAATAAAATAAAAACACTTAGGGGTGCTTAATATAAAAATGTCCAAAAGTAAACAATGAGGTCAAAATGGCAGTCACCTAAAATAAATGTACATCTGTGTATGGACAAATTATGCCCAATAGATGCCACAGCTCATAAATCTCTGATCACCACGGTTTCTCCTTATTGATCCATCTGCTTCACATACATTTGTCGTTTCCTTTTCATTTCTGTACGAGTCACCTAGTTCCCTGATACAGCACCATAGCTTCACACTGTCATTTCACAAGAGCATCGCACACAAAGAAACTGTGAAAACTTAGAATCCTCTTATTACTCATCACATTTATTCTTATGAAAAATGTACTGTTTTTATTACATATGTATATTATATAATATGCTAAATATCTTGTATTATAGATAGTAAATATATAATAATATTTACTATCTATAATTAAAGATATATATAGGGAGAGAATTCCTGGTGTGGTGCTGGAGGATAAACACTCAACCACAAGGTTGGTTTGAATCCAAGGTCAGCGGTTCAAGCTCATCAGCTGCTCCTCCAAAACCCTACACAGGGTTGCTATGAGTCAGAACTGACTCTATGGCACTTAACAACAAATATATATATATATATGGTGTGGCCTGGACTGGCTCAGTAATCCGCTGCTATGTTCGGTGCAAGTTCGATGATTCAAGCTCACCAACTGCTCCTTGGAAACCCTATACAGGGTCGCTATGGGTTGGAATCGACTCAATGGCACTTTACAACAACAGTATGTGTGTGTGTGTATATATATGCACACACACACAAAATTTTGAACTAAAGTTGAGGGGCAAAAGCACATTACTACATGGAAAGATAAATTCTTTTTTTTAACTTGTCACTCATTCAGAAAACATACCATAATTGCCTGCAACCTGCTAGGCCCTGCTTCAGAAAGTCCACATTTCTACTCCTATAAAGATAGAGCACCATAATAACACTGTTAGGCTTGTTGTTACTGTTGTCAATTAAGCTTAAAAGAGGACTTCAACAAAGCAGCGAGATAACTGAGGCAGTCCAGGCAAGTGTTGATACTGCCTCAGTGGCAAGCAACTGCATCTAACAGAGACAGCAATTAATTGCACAAACCAGAATTGAAACTATAAAAACCTACATGCCTGTAATAATAAATAACACTCACATACTTTGACAACGCCTATGGAGTAGAATTAAAGTTGTGACAAGGGAAAACTGCATGTTCTTTTAGCCTAATCCAGGAAACATTACTACACTGTTGTTAAGTGTCGATGAGTCAGTTCTGATTCACAGCAACTCTGCATAGAATTTCCAAGGAGTGAGTAGTGGGTTTGAACTGCCATCCTTGTAGTTAGCAGTCCAGTGTTGATTGTACAGCACCACACCAGGACACCTATTTAAAATCCCTTCGCAACAAATACTTCACTGCTCTCCCAAAGAAGAGGAAATACTCTAATTGATCTATTAGTTAAATTTTGGAGAAAAAAAGTTTATTGGATGTTCAGCCCAATGAGGTGCATTTTAATTTGATCTCATCATGTGCTACTTCTAGGTAAACTTTCATTTCCTGTCTTTCATTCTGTCTGTACACCTGTGCCATACACTTTAATCTAAGTGTACATCTAAGTGCTTTTGAGTTATCAAATACTAAGAGTCCAGTTTTGCATCTTAATAATTACTTATCCAACTTCTCTATAATTCACTTCCTTAATCTCTTCTCATTAAATCAATTTCTTACTATCATTCTGTTTTTCTCTGGATAGTGGCCAGTTTTTCAGCTCTTGAAATCAGAATTTCAAAAACTCACCCTCCTATACTGACTTGCACTAAGTAACTTACCATCTCTTACAACCTCTGAGCCCTCTCATCACTGCTTGCCCCTTTCCACCCTATTGAATGTTTTCTCAATAAAATAGGATTTTATATCAGTTCACCCATCTCCTTACCCTGTTGATATGACTTCATAGTCTTTTCAGAGCCCAGATTAAATGAAATAACCATTAATTTCACTTTAAATACTAAAACGATCATAGGTCACAGACATTATGGGGATAGTTTTATTTGAGAGAGTATTTCATTACTTTTGTTATTATCTCTTGGAAGAAAGTCCAAAATGACTTAAGACTATAATATGCAACCAGTAAGCAGATTTCCTGGAGTGCTGATAGTGCAATAGAATATGTGTTGGAGAGCTAACCTCAAGATCAGTAGTTGAAACCTACTAGCCTCTCCATGGAGCGATGATGACACTTTCAACTCTTAAAGATTTACCACTGCTGAAACCCTATACGGGTTGCTATGATTCAGAACTGTTTTGACCACAACTGCAACAACAACAAGAAGCAGATTTCCAGCAACACATGTTACACTCACACTCTGATTGGTGTCTCAGAATCCAGTTTTTAAACACTTTTTTTGCAATAAAATTCTTGGCTGTATACTAAATTCTCATTCAATTAACTTTCTGGGACTTCTCTGAGGTTGGAATCCTAAAATCATAAAAACTGATCGGAATGGTACGATTTGAGCCCCAACTCTGAAGTACTCTAGAAAGTGTTTGGCTTCACATTCACTAGTCAGACTTAACCAAACTTGGTGAAAAACAATATGTAATAATTAAGTGGTTCAAGTGCATTCTAGATTCCATTTCATTGAGGAGATAAAAGTCAATGATCCGCTAAGAAGTAATGACTTATCTTCTCCACAGTGGAAGTTAACAATCCTTCAACCCTACTCCAAGGGTCAAAGTAGAAAGTGTTATATCAGTTCACATGCCTTGTTAAATTTTTCTAGTAGTTTTTACCTGAAGTTTAGAATCACACCAAATATTCGATGTTTCATTAACAAGAGAAAATCTATAAGCCATGACTGCAGAAAGCAAGTGAAATGATACAAAGAAAGGCAATGTGTGAAAAGGGAATCTAAATAGAAATAAGAGAAAATGGCATGGAGCTCTGTGCGACCAGTTTGTTCTTTGAAAATATTGCCATACATTTCTATTAGGACATATTGACCAAATTGGCCAAAAGATTTAGCAATTAGGCAACTGAATTGATTAGTTTTGTGAATTTAATGGGTGCTTAGGAGTCCTGGTGTGGTGCTGTGAGTTAACGCTCTGGACTGTAAGGTCGGTTTGAACCACAAGGTCAGTGATTCAAGCTCACCAGCTGCTCCTCAGAAATCCTGTACAGGGTCACTAAGAGTCAGAACCAACTTTAACACAAAACAACAATGGGTGTTTGACTAAATTAGGAACCCTGATGGTGAAGTGTTAAGTGCACGACTGCTTACTGGAAGGTCAGTGGTTCAAACCTACCACCAATGAGGTGGCAGTCTGCTTCCATAAAGACTTACCACTTTGGAAACCCAATGGAGTAGTTTCACTCTGTTCTTCTGTACGGTATGAGTCTGAATTGACTTGATGCCATGCGTTTGTTTTTGTTTTTGTTGACTACATTTGCTGGTTTGTCATTCTAGAGATATAGCCATAGATACTTGTAGTGAATAATGCCTTTGAAAATGTTTGGCCATTTTAGTTAAATTGCAGAATAGCATTTGATGGAACCATGATAATAGCAAAAATCGGCTCTAAAATTTGTTTTTTATAGCATTGGAAATATCTTTGGCTAAAAGATTAATCTTGGCTTATAAAAGGCTCCCAGGGAAATTTATGCAACAAAAACAGCATTTTATTTTTTTAAAAGATTACCTATAGAGATGCATTCATTAAATAGATCATTGTTGGTGAAATCTCCTAAAATAGAGGCTTATGTAGCGGAGATAAAGGGTCTATTAACGGATTTACCAAAGATTATTTTTAC